TTTTTTTTTTTTCTGAGATAGAGTTTCACTTATTAACCCTTGTTAGAGTGCTGTGGTGTCACAGCTCACAGCAACCTCCAACTCCTTGGGCTTAGGTGATTCTCTTGCCTCAGCCTCCCAAGTAGCTGGGACTACAAGTGCCCGCTACAATACTGGCTATTTTTCATTGCAGTTTGGCCATGGCTGGGTTTGAATCCACCACCCTCGGTATATGGGGCTGGTGCCCTACCCACTGAGCCACAGGCGCCGCCCTGATTTTTCTTAATTTTTGAAAACTCAAAGAAAAAAATTCTCCTCAAATACTATAATTTTTTTTTTGAGACAGAGGCTCATTATGTGGCCCTCAGTAGAGTACTGTTGCATCACAGTTCACAGCAACCTCTAACTCTTGGGCTTAAGTGATTCTGTTGCCTCAGCCTCCCAAGTAGCTGGGACTGTAGGCTCCCTCCACAACTCCTGGCTACTTTTTTTGTTGTAATTGTCATTGTTGTTTGGCAGGCCTGGGCCAGGTTAGAACCCACCAGCCCTGATGTATGTGGCAAGCACCCTAGCTGCTAAGCTATCGGTGCCGAGCCTCTCCTCAAATATTATTAAAACCTCATAATTGGTTCATTCTAATTTGAGATCAAACTCAAAGAAAAAAATACTCAGAACAAGATTCTGTAGATAAACTGGCATTTCTGTATTGTTAGAAGGAGGGTAGTCTATAATTCCAGCATTCTGGGAGCTTGAGGTGGTTTGAGATCGGGCTGGGCAACGATGGCAAGACCCTATCTCAAAAAAAAATTTTTTTAAATAAGAGGAGGGCAAACTGGGACAATGTTAGAACCTGTGTATACATATGCTTATTTATAATTGGGGGAAAATCAGCAGGTTACTAAGGAAAATAAAGTACTTTTGGTTTATTTATTTCTATCTCACATGCTAGGCAAGTGTGTAGGCACTGGGCATGTAGCACTAAGACAGAATTACCTTTTCAAGGAAGCAGAGTTTATTTAAGTGCTGAATCAAGTCTTCATTTAATAACATATTCACATTTAATTACAGTTCCATGCCTTTCAAGCCAAGCATACTGTACTTCTATCTTATACATTAAAACATATATGGAAGACTTCTTGAATAATATCCCCAAAGTACAGGCAATCAAAGAAAACTCAGACAAGTTGGATCACATCAACCTACAAAACTTCTACCCAGGTAAGGAAATAATGAACAAATCGAAGAGACAATCCACAGAATCAGAGAAAATATTCGCAAATTACCCATTTGGAAAGAGATGAATAATTAAAATATATAAGGAAGTCTAACAATTCAAGAGGAAAAAGTCAAATAATCCTGTTAAAAAAATTGAGCAAAGGATCTGAACAGACATTTCTCAAGAGTTACAGTCAAGGCTCGGCGCCTGTAGCTCAACCGGCTAAGGCGCCAGCCACGTACACCTAAGGTGGCGGGTTCGAATCCCCAGCCC